GATGCTCTAAACAACTGAGCTACCTGGCCAGGGCCTATATAATTTTCTTACCTGAGAACCTTCTACTTTTCTTTTATCCTGGAACAGTCATCTGTCTCTTACAATCGCGTCTATTTTACAAACAGGTTCTGATATGAAGTGTGTTGTGGTGCGATGCATCCTCTGGTCAACAAAGGTGTTTCTCAGTGTCATTCACATCCAGCTTACCTGTCAGAATGAGTATTTTTCTTCCAGGCCCAGAAGTTGTTCCTCAGTAAGACCTCTTTATTTTAGGAGTTAATAGATTTAGATTGTAAAAACAGATGGAAACAAACTAAATGAGCCCAGACATTTTATCAGCCCACTCAGGAGAAATTCCCAAATCCAATATGAGAAAATCCATATGTTTAATCAAGAAAAATGAGCCATCAATTCTCAGCTAAAGGAAGCTCCCTATATAAACATATTCTAGGCCTGGCCGGTGTGGCTCAGTTAGTTGGAGCAGCATCCTGTACACCAAAACGTCAAGGTTTTGATTCCCAGTCAGGGCACATACTCAGGCTGCAGGTTCAATCCCCAGGCGGGGCACGTGGAGGAGGCATGATCTTAGGTGAAGATTTAAAAAAACCCCACAGGGTGTCCCCCCAAAATGTATACACATTTTGAATGATTATCAAGACAGTGTTTATGAAAATACATTTCATTTTCAAAAGGTAATAGAATCTACAGACATTGTGTGTACATTTTTTGGGGACACAGAATATTGGTCTCACAGGACTCCTTTCATAGTAAGCAAGCTATTTTGCATACTCAATTTCACTAAAAGTCTGTTTTTACATATTTCATAAACATTCATCTCTGTGTATGCAGTGTACATACACATCACCTCATTATGTGAGCTATAATGGTTCAGCCTGGGGTTCATTCTCTGACAACCAAAAATGTCCTTTATAGTGCCATTCTCAAAAATGTTAGGAATATACCCCAGGCACCCTTAACAAAGTATTTTGGATCTAATGACCATGGGTTTATCTTGAATGTGTTTATCCTTTCATTCATGCCTTTTGGGAATCATGAGTTGCATGTTTTTCACTTGTATTTAGATAGTATTCTTTTTTCTCTTCTTGCCTCAAGCTACACACTCAAATATCTAACACGAGTCAGTAAAGCACAAGAGCGGGCTTCCTGCTTACAGAGAGCAGCTACAGTGAGGCCTTGACTTACGAGTTTAATTCGTTCCGTGACGGAGCTCATAACTCAAATTACTCGTATGTCAAATCAATTTTCACCATTACAATAAATTGAATGGATGCTGGGCTGATGTTGTGGCGTTCACTGTGACGTTCGCTGCGCCAACTAGCGGTGGGGTATCTGAAGCTGGCTCGTAACCCGAATTTTAGCTCGCAATTCAAAGCAAAAAATCGGCGGAGAGACGCTCGTATCTCGAAAAACTCGTTAGTCGGGACACTCATAAGCCAAGGCCCCGCTGTACTCTGTTCCAGCCCATTGTTGCCTCGTGGGATCCGTGTGGCCAAGATGTTCTGATTTTCCCCTAGAAGCTCCTAAGTCTGAATTTTTAATGTTGTCAATTCAATCAAAATTATAAAGTCACTGTGCAGAATAAACAGTCCCCAATCTGTAGCTGTTCCATTTTATTTATTTATTTATTTATTTATTTTCCCTCTAAGGACATGCTTAGAGAGAGGAAGATACACACACACACACACACATCGATGTGAGGGAGAAACATCCATTGGTTGCCTTCCATCCCGACCAGTAATTAAACCTGCAACCCAGCAATGTGCCCTGAGCAGGAATCGAACCAGCACCTACGACGCTCAGCCCACTGAGCCGCTCCAGCCGGGCCCATTTTATTTCTGTTACTGTATCTGTATTTCTGGGCACTGGATACTGCAGGTATCCAGCTTATTTCTGTCTTAAATTTCACATTTGTCACATTTCAGGTGTACTTCCTAGCGTCTGGGATTTGATGTATGAACCCATAGTCCCCGATTCTCCACCTCCTGACTGCGACAATGTATCTATATATATAAAAGCCAAAGCGACCATTGCGACCAGTTGACTGGTTGGTATGATGATGCACTGACCGCTAGGGGGCAGACATTCAACACAGGAGCTTCCCTCTGGTGGTCAGTGCACTCCCACAGCCAACCTTCCGCAACCAGCCAACCTCCCGCGGTCCATCACCCAGCCAGCCGGTCCCGATATGCTCTGATCAGCCCCAATCGCCCTGATCGCCAGCCAGGCCAAGGGACCCCCCACCTGTGCACAAATTCGTGCACCAGGCTTCTAGTATGAACATATTTTTTCAGCTCTATCTTCTTACACTAAAGATTATTTTTTAAAATACGTTTTTATTGATTACAGAGAGGACGGGAAAAGGTTAGAGAGATAGAAACATCAATGACGAGGGAATATTATTGATCGGCTGCCTCCTGCACGCCCCACACTGGGGATCAAGCCCGCAACCCGGGTATGTGCCCTGACCGGGAACTGAACTGTGACCTTCTGGTTCATAGGTCAACGCTCAACTATTGAGCCACGCTGTCCAGGCAAGACTACTTTTACTTATTCTGCAACTATATAGAAACGGAACCGTGACCTTCTGGTTAATAGGTCAACGATCAACTATTGAGCCACGCTGTCCGGACAAGACTACTTTTACTTATTCTGCAACTATATAGAAACAGCTTCGTGTGCTACGTTATTTTCTTTACCTTGACTCAGGTAAAGTCATAGAGTAAAATTATAAAAGCACTCTTTACCTTTGTTTTGTTACTCGTTGTTGTTCCTGGGAGTGAGTGGCAGTTTCATGGTCACAAGCCAACCTTCTCCCCTTCTCTTTGCAGCCGTCCTTTCATCAAGCCGATAATGTGCGGGGCACCCGCCACCACGGGCTGGTGGAGAGGCCGTCGAGGACCCGCTTCCACCCCCTCCACCGACGGCCTGGAGACAAGCCTGGGCGGCAAATATCCTTTCTCACTGTCTAAGGAGCGTATACATTTTGAAATGTTTGGGAGGTTTTCAGGATTTATCTTCCCTGCAATTCCTCTTTGGCCTCAAAATCTTCGTTTTATCTGATGAATGGAGGCAATGAAAGTAAGTAACTTGGAACCTGGAAACACCTCTGCCGCCATTGGGAAGGTTGTTACAGGTGTTTACCAAATCATCAGTAAGGTTCCCTTTCATGGAGTAACTGGACATAAGCAGCATGTAATGCAGCCCCATTGCAAGGCTTTCTTTGCATTTTCTGGAGAAATGAGTAATGTCAGAGTTAAACCTGACTTTGAACCAGCTTTGAGAGAATCTGATTCAGTTATCTCGCTGAAACAGATACACAGATATGTGATTTAGTTTTATTTATGTTGACCTGCTGTTAGAATTTACAGACAAAATTGCATAGGCTTTTCTATTTATGGACTTTCAAATTCAGTAAAGAACAACTGAAATAGATAGCTGGTATTTAGGAAAATTCCTATACGGTGATGCACACCCCTAGGCCAGTGGTCAGCAAACTGCAGCTCGTGAGCCACATGTGGCTCTTTGGCCCCTTGAGTGTGGCTCTTCCACAAAATACCACATGCGGGCGCGAATGTACAGTGCGATTGAAACTTCGTGGCCCATGCGCAGAAGTCGGTATTTTGTGGAAGAGCCACACTCAAGGGGCCAAAGAGCCGCATGGGGCTCGCGAGCCACAGTTTGCCGACCACTGTCCTAGGCTGTTAAGGAGGACTGAAGAGGTTGTGATCTCACCTGACAGTTTTATTTGACCGGTCCTTATCAGGGGCTGGAGCTGGCGTGCCGATGGGTGGCCAGGATTGGGCGGAGGGCTCCAGGAGCACAGAGCCGAGCTGGACTTTCTGGCCAGGACATAGAATGAGCATGTCAGGGGGGCCCTGCTCTCCCTTCACTCCTCACACAGGGGGGTAGAGGAAGGCGCAGAGGCGGGGTCAGTCTGACTGCAGAGCCGAATTCCTGGCAGTGATGGTAGAATTGGCTCCAGAAGCCTAAAAACCAGGAAGTGGGGGGAAGGGCACTCATGTTTACTGAGCACCTACCCATGCCAGGCACTGTACTGGGCAGTTTATATGTCACTTAGTCCTCAAGACTTACTGAGTCGTTTGTTTTTTTAACCCCCATTTTCCACCGAGGAAACGATGCCAGAGGTACTGGCCTAAGATTCCACTGCTGAGGTTGGAGGGGCCCGGATTCAGCCCAGGTCAAGCTGACTCCCAGCCTGGGCCCCTCCCTGTACCACACGCATCCACTCGCTCATGACCAGGACTAGACGCAGGGCAGGCCCTGTCGGGGAGTTGCAGGTGCACAGGCTGCTTTCCTTGCTCTCAGGCTCCTGGCAGGTTTCCATCTATTCAGAGCAAAGGATGTTCCCCAGGGAACAGTTATTGCTCCCGTCTCTCCTGCCCCCAGGGACATGCACGGCATTGGGTCCACTGAGATACTCTGACTCCTACTTTTGTTTTTTTGTTATTTTTTAAAGGCGTTATTTTATTTAATTAATTTATTTTTTAACCCTCACCCGAGGATATTTTTCCATTGATTTTTAGAGAGAGAGTGGAAGAGAGAGGGAAAGTCAGAGAGAAATATCGATGCCAGAGGAACATATCGATTGGTTGCCACAGGGCCCGGGCCAGGGAGGAGCCCACAACCGAGGCACGTGCCCTTGACCAGAATCGAACCTGGGACCCTTTGGTCCACAGGCCGGTGCTCTATCCACTGAGCTAAACCGGCTCAGGCCTGACTCCTAGTTTTGTATGATATGTGGCCATTATTAGGGAAGTGAAGATGACAGCTGATGTTGAGAATCCCTTTCTGGAATGTGTAATAAGTTTTACAAAGAATGCAGAAGGGAAAGGAGAATGGAGGCAGTTCTTCAGCTAATTCACACAGGTGTGGGTGGAGCAGTACGTCAAACCATTGTCCAGATCACTTGGAATTTTCAAGCAAAAGCCTTTGAGTGTTTCTTCGCTTGATTTAACAATATATCTTTTTCTGATTTCTCAATTTCCTCTTTCTATGTAGGTGCTCTCTCTAAATATCCTGAGTGTGTGTGCAGGTGTGTAGTTATCTCAGATCCTTTTTGCAGCAAGTCTAAATATATACACATGCTCACAGCTATTACAACCAAAGGAATAAGTTAGAAGAGGAGGGGGTTGAAGAAAAGCCACAGAGAGGAATGTTCATTCACCCATTGATTTAAGTATATGCTAGTGTCAGGCACCATTGTAGACATTGCTGATATTATGTAAAAAATACTATGGTCCCCCCTAACCAGTTTGGCTCAGTGGATAGAGCGTCCGGCCTACAGACCGAAGGGTCCTGGGTTCGATTCTGGTCAAGAGCCCGTACCTCAGTTATAGGCTCCTCTCTGGCTGGGGCCCCAGTTGGGGGCATGTGGGAGGCAAGCAATTGATGTGTTTCTCTCACATTGATGTTTCTCTCTCTGTCTTTCCCTCTCTCTTCCACTCTCTCTAAAAATCAATGGAAAAATATCCTCGGGTGAGGATTAAAATTAAAATAAAAAATAATATGGTCCCTACCCTGAAGTTGCTGATAGTTTAGTGCGAGAGGCGGCTAGGCAAGGACATGGTCACAGCACAGTGCGGTGAGCTAGAGTGAGGCAGCTCGGGCTGTGCGAGCTCGTAGGGGGCAGCCTGAACCAGTCTTGGGGGGATGGAGAAGGCATCCTGGAGGAAAGTCTGAGGCTTGAAGGATAAAAAAGAAGAGGATAATGTGTTCATGTATCCGACAGGTAGTTACAGAGCTGCTTCTCTGTGCCAGGCACTGTTCTAAGCACGGGGACTCAGTGGTGAATAGGCAGACGTGCCCCTGCCTTCTTGAGTGTACTGTCCTGTGGGAGATGACAGACAGCAAACAGGCAAACAAAGGATTAACCAGTTCACTGCCACGATATTTTGAATTTAATTTAAAAAGGTCTGCCGCTTGCGTCATAGACGCTTATGGCAGTTACCTGGCTAAGGAAATAATTTCAAATGGTCGTAAGTGACAGAGAGAAAGGAAAAGAGCTGGAAGGGAATGTTCCCGGAGAGGGATAGCTTGTGCAGAGTCCCGGAACACAGAGCGGGGGCTACTCTGTGTGTTCAGGAGACTTTGTCTCTTTTCAGGGGAAATAGCACAGGATATGACTTGGCCCTATATGTGTGTCACTGTGAGAGCAGATGAATTCCTGGGGGAAGGAAAAGCAGAAACCCAGTTCATAAGGTGCTCTCTCTAAATATCCTGAGTGTGTGTGCAGGTGTGTAGTTATCTCAGATCCTTTTTGCAGCAAGTCTAAATATATACACATGCTCACAGCTATTACAACCAAAGGAATAAGTTAGAAGAGGAGGGGGTTGAAGAAAAGCCACAGAGAGGAATGTTATTCACCCATTGATTTAAGTATATGCTAGTGTCAGGCACCATTGTAGACATTGCTGATATTATGTAAAAAATACTATGGTCCCCCCTAACCAGTTTGGCTCAGTGGATAGAGCGTCCGGCCTACAGACCGAAGGGTCCTGGGTTCGATTCTGGTCAAGAGCCCGTACCTCAGTTATAGGCTCCTCTCTGGCTGGGGCCCCAGTTGGGGGCATGTGGGAGGCAAGCAATTGATGTGTTTCTCTCACATTGATGTTTCTCTCTCTGTCTTTCCCTCTCTCTTCCACTCTCTCTAAACATCAATGGAAAAATATCCTCAGGTGAGGATTTTGCAGGCTGATGCTCTATCCACTGGGCTACACCATCTAGGGCCAAAAAATGTTTTTTAAACATGGGCCTGGCCCATTAGTGAACAGTGAGTCTCTTTTGAGGAATCGTGGGACTATGAGCTCCAGTTAAATACAAAAGTGAAATGACCTTCTGCGGAAGATATTAATACATCCAGGAGACCCCGGAAGGAGAGGGCTGTGGTTCCACCTTTCCTTTCATGGGCTGCAGTCATTTGGTTGTGAAAGAATTTGCTGCCCTGGCCGGTGTTGCTCACACCGAAGGGTCTTGGGTTTGGTTCCCAGTCAAGGGCACGTACCTGGGTTGCAGGTTTGATCCCACATGTGGGAGGCAACCAATCAATGTCTCTCACATCAATGTTTCTCTCTCCCCCCCCTTCCGCTCCTGTCCTTCCCCCTTTCCACTCACTCTAAAAATCAATGGAAAAAATATCCTAGGTGAGGATTAACAAAACAAAACAAAAAAACTATTTGCTTAAAATGGTTGCCATTGACAATTGTCTATTACCTCCTTAGTGAAGTTTTATCATTTGAAAGTATTAACACTGGTTTGAATCCTTGTTAGGACAAAAAGAAAAATTGTATTCAGAATTCTCTTGTCACAGCTGTTTCTTGGCTGGGTGCTATTCTAGAACAGGCAAACTGGCCCAGACAGCAGTTCAGTGCTCTGATAGGGTGATCTTAAATGAAACGAGCATTGTTTAACAAATATCCCAGCTTCCTCCCAGCGTGGGCAGCCACACCAGCAGAGCTCTGGCCCAGGGAGATCCCTCCTGCGGTGGGCGGCGTCCTGCAGAGGAGGCTGGTGCGTGAGCCCGGCTGTTGGCATGGGTGGGCACTACAAGCAAAGACCAGGGCACTGCCCAGCAGGCTTCTGGCCGGGGCCACACTCATGGCAGGAGAGAGGCACTGCCTGGTCCCTGGCGAGACCTGTTGTCAGAACTCGGAACCAGGAGCTCTCCTCCCTCTGTAGCTACTCGTATCTGGCAGCCCCTCACTCCTCAGTCCTCACGGCAGCGAATGCGTATCCCAGATGCCACCTTGTTGAATTTCTGAACTATTAACATACATTTACAGCAGATATAATAGTATCTCAGACCTGTGGGTAATACACTGAAAAAGAAGGGAAACACGATGACTTATAGAAACTGCCTTCCTCTAAAAGGATGTGTTTGCCCTAGCTGGTTCGGCTCAGTGGACAGAGCATCAGCCTGTAGACCAAGAGGTCCCGGGTTTGATTCCTGACAAGGGCATGTATCTGAGTTGCAGGCTCCTCCCCGGCCCGGGCCCTCGTCGGGGCGCGTGCAGGAGGCAGCCAATGGATGTGTTTCTCTCACATTAATGTTTCTCTCTGTCTTTCCCTCTCTTCTACTCTCCCTGAAAATCAATGGAAAAATATACTTCGGTGATGATTAGCAATAAATAAATAAATGTGTTTTTAGAAAGAGAACATCAGAAATGTTGAGAACATTTCTGTTTTATATTCCCGAGGAGGTTTGAGAATGTCCTGCATCTTAACTAGAGTGAACAGCCGGGAAGAGATGCCTTAACACCTGGCTCTCCTCTGTGGGGTGGGCCTTGCTTTGGTTCTTTCATAGAATGAGATGGAAATTTTAGGAGATTGGTTTATAGAACACTGTTTCTTTGAAGTGCGGGGTCTGTTACATTTGAGAAATACTGTGCTCTTCCTCAGTTAGTAGGAGGGCTCTAGAAACCTGCCAGTTAAGAACCCTCTTTGCCCAGCTGGCGTGGCTCAATGGTTGAGTGTCAGCCCATGAACCAGGAGGTCACCGGTTTGATTCCCGGTCACGGCATATACGTGGGTTGCAGGCTGGTAGCGATTGATGGTTCTTTCTCATCAATGTTTCTATCTCTATCCCAATCCCTTCCTCTCTCTCAAATCAATTAAAACTTTTTTTTAATTCTTATCTTTAACCCAGGGTTTCCAAAATTTATTTGATCACAAAACCCAATTTTTTCCTCACACTCACTAGAGATTTTCATCTCAAAGGACAAGGAAATGCTGGTTTTTAGAATTTTAAAGGCAAAAGTATTCAGATTTCCAAATTATACCTGCCACCTATTCGTCGCTCGCACGCTAAGAGAAACAGGACGATGGTCTCGTGTAGGCAAAGACTCAAAAAGACCCCACATCTGACTCTCAGATGTGTCCTGCAAGTCACCGTTGGAGGGAAAAGGACAAGAGGAAGTAGAGTGATGGTGAGACGTGGGTGGAGAAATTAGGAAGGACCCCGGTTGTGACCAGTTTTGTATATTAAACCTGCCCCTGGAACTCACCGTGGTGGAATGGGGCGGGGGAGGGGGGCGCTTGGATTAAGCAGACTCCAAGTTCCCATCCCACCAGCTGCATGGGAGGTCACAGGCCTGCCCCAGATTCGCCCCTGGTAGAACCGAGTGGCCCCTGGTAGAACAGTGTCGGGGTAGGAGAGAAAACGGCACCCCGCTGCCTCCGAGGGCACTTCCTGAGCCGCCCCAGGTGCACTCGCCACATGGAAACAGGAAGCCAAAAGGAGAACGCTGCTCTGCACCAGCCACGGGCAGGCCCGCTGAGAGGCAGGGTGGGGCTTGTTTGGAGCGTCTGTGGCTCGGTGGCCCCACCCACGTGCCAACGCCAACAGATGTCTTCTCTTATCAACAGAAGAGCTACTCCCCTTCCTTTGGGGAAGAGTGAGTAAGAACTTTCCCTCTAACACGCCCCCAGGGGGAAGGAGTAGGAGTCCCCTGTGGATGGATTGAGGCTGGAACATAGAGGGACTTTCCCCTACAGGACGGCTGAGACGGGGGAGAGAGAACGGATTCGGGGGGGCGGGGGGGGGGGCCCGAGGTTCCCAACTGGCACACCCAGGTGGATGGTGCCCTGCATTAAGCACGATAGACCATCACATGAGCATCAGAAAGGCTAAGATGCTGACTAGACCACCACGTTGGGATAACCCGTGGTTGATGATGGTGTTACTGTCACACCGCTGCGGTCTGATTGGTATTTCCAGGACTGGATAAGTGGACTCAGTGACTTCAGGGGTGGCAGGGTGCTGAGAGGTGGTGAGCTTCTGCTTCATGAAAATAGTCACCAGATTCCAAAGGAAAGAGAAAGATAAGCTCAGGTTATAGATTCAGAAGCTGCTGCCTAATGGTTCTGCCGGCTAAAATGCTGATCGGCTCCGTCTCTGAGGGTCTTCTCATTTCTTTTCTTTTTTTTAATTATTACTTTCTTTTCACTTTTTTTAATTTAATTTTTATTTGTTTATTTTTTTGTAATTCTTTATTGTTTAAAGTATTACATATGAATCCTTTTTCCCCCATTGACCTCTCCCCACTTGTCCCTCCCCCCTCCCT